GGCTCGTCTGGGCTCAGCCGGGCGGCTGGGACCCGAGTCTCCGCCTCTCCCCACTTGCACGGTTAACCCTCCTGCCGCCGCGCTGCAGGAGTAGGTGCCTACCTCTAGCTCAGATGCAGGGCTGGAGAGGGCAGCGGGGTCAAGGGGGGAGACCTCCAATCCCTAGGGATCCCACCTCCTTCACCCAAGTCGGTGTACACCTATGGTCGCCCCAAGCAGTTCTGAGATTCTGAATCACCCAGTACTCTTGGTGTTTTGAGACAGGGACTTGCTACGTAGTTTAGGCTGATCTTGAACTCACTGTGATCCTCCTGACACAGCCTTCTGAGTGCTGGGATTCGAGGCGTGGGCCACCACTCCCCGCTTGAGTCACCCCAACTCTGTTTTGCCCTCTTGGAGAGGGTGGAAGGAGAGGAGGGGAGAAGAGCCGTGCCATCATTGGAATACCCCAGCAACTTGATCCCCTATTTCACTCTGGCCCTGCTACAGTCAGTTCTCCTGGAAACAACCCAAATGATCTATAAAATGCATAGATCAGGCCCCTGAGACTGGCACCTGTAAGTAGCTTTCCCAGCACTAAGAATATTCCAACTTCTTACTGTACTTACAGGGCCCTGTAAGATGTGATCCTTAGGTATCTCCCTGGTTTCCTCTCCTAAAGGTTTCTATGCTTGAGGCACAGTAGACCTGTTCTACATTCCCAGGAGAATAGCAAACCTGCCTCAGGGCCTTTGTACTTGCTGTCTCCTCTTTCTGTAATGATTTTCCCAGGCTTTTCACATTGGCTTAGACATTTCACTCCAGTCTCCCTTGTCTTCGGGGAAGCCTTTCTCAATCTTTGTAAAAATAGAATCGCCTGCTTCTACTCTCCTACCGTCCTCAATCACATTACCCTGTTTTTCATTATTGTACCTTAGGATGCTACACTCCTACTTTCTCCCGAACCTCACTGTCATTCCCTAGTCTGCCTCAGCTCTGACCTCTAATATTGGAGCCTCCTAGGGCTCAGTCCTTGGCCTTCTCTTCCCTGTCCAGTGATCTCATCCAGTCCCAGGGCTTAAATACTGTGTAAATGTCAGTGAGACCTAAATTTGTATCCAGAGCGCCAGACTCATTTATCCAGCAGCCTGTGTGACAGCCCCACTTGGATGTCTAATGGCCCCTCAAAGCCGATGTGACTGAAATGGATGTTTGGAACCTGCCACCCCCCCAACCCATTGCTCTCCCAGCATCCTCTTCCTGGGCCAGGACAGCTCCTCGTTGTTCAGGCTAAAAATGGAGAATGGCTTCCTTTCACTGATTCGCTTGTGGAATGAACCAACAATTCCTGTGGGGTCTGCATCCAACACCATCCTGACTCCATCCTCTCCTCTTCATCTTTGTTGTTACCATCTGGATCCAAGCTGTATTCTGTCACTGAGACTATCACAGTGGCTTCCTAGCTGGTCCTTTACTTTGGTCCTTGCCCTTACAAACTAGTCTTCATAGTATCAGTAGCATGTTAAAACTCTAACATGCGTGACATGTCTAACACATGCAGTGTATGTGGGGGGGTGTCAAACCCAGGGGTGCTCTAAAATGGAGATACACCGCAGCCCTTTTTATTTTTTATTTTTTTATTTTAAGGCCGAATCTTGCCGTGTTGTCCAGGCTGGCCTCAAATTTGTCCACGTGATCCTCCCACTTGAGCTTCCCAAGGAGCTGGCATTGCGAGCATGCACCCCCTCGGCCAGCTTCAAGTGTCTTCTTACCATACTTGGAATAATTCTGAAGTCCTTGTAAGGAGAAGTGTGATAGGTCTGACCCCTGTCTGCGCCCCCACTTCCCCAGCCACCTGAGTTTGGGAGAACAGTAAGCTGTTCCTACATCCTGCCGAGCTGGAACACAGCCTGCTAGGACAAGGTCCCCACATCCACCTGCTAGGTTCCAAGCCGTCGCTATGGCCATGCCCTCAGCCATTTTTGCTCCCCCAATCTCACAACTCCCTTCTCATCACCCCAGCTGAGCCCATCCCACCAACCCCCCAACCCTGCCCACGAAGGGCCCAGCTCAGTAAACTGGACTCCTCTGTCCACTGGAGTTGTCCAGGAGTGCCCCCCGGAACCCACAAACTCAGACAGGCTGTGTTCTCTACCAGGTGCACAATTTATACCCCTCCCGTGCACAACGCTCCTGCCAAGTCAGACTTGCTGTTCTAGAATATCGGAAACCCTTCTCTTAGCACCTCTCCCTGGAATGCTCTGCGACCCTTCTCTCCCATTCTACTAGAACCTGAAGTGCCCCACCCTCGTTCATCACCAGGTTTCCGTGTCTTTCGGACTCATCGCTTTCCGAAACGATCAGTCTGCTGTTCACTGCCTGCCCCCCACGCGTGAGAGCGGAGCTGTCACCCATGAGCCTAACCCTACCGCAGTGCCGTGGCTCATGGGGGATACTTGCTGCCATTGCTTAGCGAACTTCCGGGACCCCTGGCTCCCCGGAGCCCTTCGTCCTGTCCTCTGCCCTGCCCTGCCTTTCCGGGCTGCCCACCCGCCCTGACCTCTGCCCTGGCCCTCGCAGGCGCCTTCCTCCCTCCCCCGCGTTACTGCTGCATTAGCCTGGTGCTCGGGCTTTCCCAGAAGGAAGCCGCCTCTCCCGCAGCATCTGCAGCCGCTGCCCTCCTCCTTGCCCCTCCTCACAGCCCCTCACTGGGGCGCAGGTGGCAGAGGCTGAGCTGTCCTTCCAGTGCCTCCTAGTGGCGCAAGAGAGATAGTGCACCCTGCCAGGGGACAGGGCCGCCACCGGCCACGAGGTGTAGGTGTCCGTCCTGAGGACAGGCTCGGGGGCTCACTGTACGACTGGCAGAGGCCCCGTTTATCGAGGAATACTTACTCTGAGTGCCTTTCACACTAAGGGCTTCTGGTCATTATCGGTCATCTCTAGTATTCCTGATGGATTCTTTCTTCTCATAAACATTTTTTGTACATTTACTATATGCTGGGTACTGGGCCACAGCTGGGGACACGATGGAGAGCAAGAACACAGTCACAGCTGGCTTTGGGGACTTATAATGCAGTGGGGGCGGCCGTGGGACAGAGGGACAGGCCCCTGACCACATCCCCTCCGGCACCGTTTCTGATGCTGTGGTGTCTTTGTCACCTTCCCTGCCCAGGTAGCAGTATTCCCAGTGTTTGTCAGGATGGGTCTCTGTCTGTTTTCTGGCCTCAAATGTTCAGTGTCCTTCTAAACTATCTTTTTGTAAGCGATAGAGTCATATGCCAGCGACTATCCCGGGCAGCAGCTCTGCCCCTTTGCTCCCAGCCGTGCGCGCGCAAACACCACTCCCGAGGACCCTTCTC